TTTGAAACTAAATATCAGCTCAACTCTATTTAATATACAAATCACTACTATACTTTCTATGTACCATTTGTTTTATTCACTATATAACATTACAAACTGCATCATTACCTGGTCTTTATTTTTTTAAATTCATCTACACTGTAAAACCTGATGAGTTAGTTGAACTCAAACCATTTGAGGAAAGTGATTGCCTTAAATTGTTTAAGTTAATTAACTCAAACTATTTAAGTACACAAAATAGATTCAAGTTAATCTAACTAACACTATGATATTAGTTGAACTCATATGAAGCATCACCCTAACTTGTTTAAAATTAGGACATTTAACTTTTACATATCAAGTAAGTCTAAATTATATGTATATATTAACACAGATATTACTACTTAAGTTTAATTCACTAAATCTTATTCCATTAAGACAAGTTATTACAATCAAGTTATGTCAACTTCAATCTTTGCTGTAGCTACTCAAGTCATTTGAGGAAAGTGATTGCCTTAAATGATTTAAGTTTTAACAACACAATAGATATGAGTATGTCAGACAACTTTTTATTTTGTTCAAAAATTCAAAACAGAACGTAACAAAATATTTTTCAATACATTTCAACAACACTTTAACATCAGTTACAAGTACTAAAGTATAAAGTACTGTACATAGTACAAAAAAGCTGGCAAATGTCACCACATGACATAAAAATAAAAATGTTTTATCATTTAACAAGTGGTTAAATATAAAAAGGAACAGTATGAACTGAATAAACACAAAGCAGCATTAATTTTTGGCATGCAAGCCAAATCTTTGTAAGGCACTGCAGACCTCCAGTGACAAACAGGCTCATTCCAGTTCGTTTCTCAGGGCCTGTAACTTTGGTTTGAGCTGCTTTCTGCCATCATCAAGCTTTAGGAGCACAACTTGTATGAACTCAAAGAAGCCACTTAGCTTCTCAGGATAGCTCAAATGTAGAGCATACATCAGTCCAAACAAACCCACCAGTGAGTCTGTCCAGGATCTGTGATACATAACAACTTGCCCCTCAAGGACGACTGACACATGGTTAATTTCAAAGGGGATTCCTGCAGGCACTTCTCCATTGACCACTGCCACCAAAGCCACTGGCCCCTCTTGGTCTGCCTCAGATTCTTCCTAAAAAAGAAATACATCCTTAATGCAAGTGTAATTGTATAAATGATCCAGATGCAATACACAATGACACTCTACTACATGTTGAGAGGAGTAGGAAATCTATGATGCCCTATGATTTATTTTATTAGTCATACATTAAATCCCTTTAAAGAAAAATATGAACTATCTAACTTGACACCCAATTAAATGACAGGCATAACTGTCACGATCCTGCCGTTTTGAACTCTCATCACATGTTCCTCGTTATGTTTTCTTTCTCT